CACTGTTGTTGTTTAATCTGTGCACGAGCTCCCGCCCACTCCGTGCCCTGATGCTAATGAATGCTAACGCGGTGTGTGAGAGCGCCGGCCGCCTCGAGGCGTCTCGCAGCAGAACAAACCTCTGAATGTCAAACAGGCGGGACGACGGCGCCGTGATCGTGTTTCTAATCGCAGCTGCAGCGTGCTGAGGTCAAACACGAGCACGCAGGATTCAGAACCTCGGACTGTTCGCTACACGTTCATTATGCAGTCGTCGCCCACACGTCACAGGCGAGGTGAGAGGAAACACGATCGGGAGGTTTTCAGGTCATATTCAAATCACTCAGTGTTTTATTGTGAAGTTTAAATAAAGATTTGACTGAATTCTGTTCTAACGATGAATGATGTCACCTCCCTGTCATCAGCCACCGACACGCTGATGTCACCAGAGACTGTAAACGCCAACCACCAGGGGGCGACGGAGATGCTCCGGCTTCAAATTTAGATTCGGAGACAACGCAACTGTCAAGTTTCTTGTTTTCAGTTTATCGTCATTGGTTGAAATTAATTAACTGAAAATGTTGAAACAAAATAAAAATTCAATTATTCTGAAATACTTTCAAAGTAATGGTGCAAAACTGTGAGACCTGCCAAAATAAAAGCATCAAGAAGCAGCAACATAAAAACTTTGGATGATTTTTGTCTTTTCTACAAAATTACCGATGGGACTGGAGAAGACGACAGGACGATATGGACCAGTCGTCCAGGTCCCGGTGTCTTCAGAACTTCAGACCTGAAGAAGCCTCCTGATGAGACGAGAACTGTCTTCAACAAACTCAAGCACGTCCAGTGTCCACGTTGTAAAACTTCTGAAAACGTCACAGGAAGTTAGAACCCACTCATTTCATTAAAATAAAAGTGTTTCAGTGATGATGATTTAAATTCCTCAGTTGTTGTGTATCTTGTTGTGTTCATGTGAGTTGGTTGAGCAGCAGCAGAAGGAAGGAGGTTAAAAAAAGGAGCGATTACAGGAAGGAGAGAAAAAACTTTGATGTGTACACATGCAAATGAGTTTGGAAATGTCAAATTAGCATAGATTTGGGTTGACCCGGGCGGCGGCCTCCCTCGCAGCTACAGGCAGCCGGGACGCTGACAGCTCGGCCCGCGTCCAGACGGCCTGCTTTACATATTAGAGTGGCCTCCCATCACCGCGGGTTACCACCAGCATCCCGTCGCCACGGAGACTGATGGAGACTGACAGGGCGGACAGCCTGACTGATGGACGGATGGATGGATGAAAGCTACTGTGTGAGAGAGAGAGAGAGAGAGAGGGAGGGAGGGAGGGAGGGAGGGCTTTAGCTCTGGGCCTCGCTCGCCCACAGAGGAGAATATAAAAACTGTGGATTATGTTAATGTGCTTGTTAATTTAATCAATTACTGGTGGAGTGTTCATCAGCGGCTTCATGACCTCGAGCTCAGCTCAGACTTTCTTTGTTCACGACAGAATCGTCGTTTAACCTTTAACTCAGAGTTTTACTACAAATTTTCACTGTTTCTGTGGATTAGAAATAAATGAACTCCTGGTTCTGGAACACGTTTATGAATCTGGTGCTCTGGACCATTTAACGCTTGTTTAAACATAAGGAATCGTGAACTGGACTTTATCACACAGAGAAAAATAAATCAGTTTAAAAACACGAGAATAAAAATGATGAAATAACATCTGTGTCCTGCAGGTAAATAAA